GAGGAAGATGTCTGCTGGAATGGGCCTTGTGGTGGCAGAACTCGAAAGGGAGGAAGGAAGCACCTTGCAGAGGGGAGACTGAAACCAGTGATTTTGGTTTGGTTTTTAATCCTTGGTTATCAATGTATCCATGAGGGCTCTGCCTGCCTGCACGTGCTGGCTCTCTGGCAGGGTCAGGGCTGTTCGTGTAGCAGATTGCTTTGTGGAACAGTGGCCATGGAATTCCAGAGGAGTTGTCAGCACACATGTAGCAATTATTCTCCAGAATGTTCTCTGATGTGCAGTGGTTGATACAGAGATGACTGGAACACCATTCCCTCGCACTGTCAGCTTCTGGAAGGCTCAGACTCTGTGCTGTGGGTTTGGGGTTCACCAGAAGGAGCAAAGGGTTCCTGTGCAGGAGCTGTGACCCCTCTCTGTGTGGTACACGATGGCAAAAAGCCATGCTGTGTCTCCATGTGAGCCTTGAGCATCCTGAGCAGCTGGGAAAGCTTTGCTTGTTTGGGATGAAAATACATTATGCACTGGAGTTATGAATAAAAGATCAAGGGTAAATCTGTGTAATGCTTTACTGTGTGAATAAACTCGCCTTCATGGCACTCATGCTCTTTGCTGGAAGATCCTTTCTCAGGGACACTCAGCCATTTAGTGTTGCTTTACGCTTTTTCTTCAAAGTGAAAGATTTGTTAGGGCTTCCCATTCACACGTACTGCTGGATTTGAGCAGATGAGAATTTCACTGTGTGTAATTCACACTGCTGGATCAGGGGATAATCTCTGATTTAGCTCGGTATCGCTTGTTCTTGCAGGGAGCTCGGTCTCTGGAGCTGGGTGATGGGAAGGACACAGCCCTGCTGTGAGGTGTCTGGGTTAGAGGGCTGGGACTCACAGGACTCTGGGGTTGGCTCGTCCCAGGCTCTGTTCTTTGCCCTGGTTTGAGGCTGGATTGGCAGTCCTGTCTGTGAGCACCAGTGCAGGACACGGTTTGTGCCCCTTTGGGAAACCACTGGCCCTCATGATAGGCTCAGTCCAGACATTTCCTTATTTCTTATTCCTTATTCCTTATTCCTTATTCCTTATTCCTTATTCCTTATTCCTTATTTCTTATTCCTTATTCCTTATTCCTTATTCCTTATTCCTTATTCCTTATTCCTTATTCCTTATTCCTTATTCCTTATTCCTTATTCCTTATTCCTTATTCCTCTGCCCTGTTCTCGCTGCCTCGGGGTTCTGCCCTGGGCCCGAGGCTGCTGAGAAGCACAGGATGTTACAGGGGACTGAAGGATCCTTAGGTGGCACCTTGAAGTTGTTCCTGAATCAAAGTGCAGGCCTGGAACTGGAAGTGCTGTTCTTCTTTCTTCCTTTCTTATTTTAACTATTGTGTGTAAAGATCACACAGAGGGATAAAAGTTCTCATGTGGCTTTTTCAGTGGAATCTCCTGTCCAAAATCCAACTTGGATAGATTTTTTCCTCAGAATTATTACTTTGGTTTCTGCTACTTTCAATTGCTCCTTCTGCAAGCACCTGAAAGCTCTTGTGTTGTTGCTGATAAACAACTTCCACGTTTCTCACTCTGTGTGGGTGACTTGAGTGGAATTTGCAGCCTGTGTGTTTCCTCTGGAGATGGGAGGTGATGTACACACACACACACACACACACACACACAACCAAAATCACACACACTGCTACTCCAGCACAGGTAACACTGCCCTTCCCTTCTAGCACTCATTGCTGCTGCTTTTCAGACTCCTATTTCTAACACCCACCAAATTCCATGAAGTCAGTTGTTCCATGAGTTCCTGAAATGCCAATTTAGCACTTTGTCATAAGGAACGACCTCAGACCTGTGAATGATGTCACAGCATTCATGGACTGGCTTTCAGCACAACTGTGCTGGGACTTTTGGAACATACACTTTAAGCTCAGGCTAAATTTTCCCTTGCCTGTGCTGAAGGTTATGAAGCACCTGTCAGAAGTGAGAAGTCCTTCATTCTCCTCCCTTTGATGGATGCTGCTTTTCTCTTCCATCAGAACTGTAGTTGCTCCTTGGTGTGGTCCTGACACATATTTTCCATTTAGGTCACCGTTTAAGTATTTGGCCCAGATTTTAAAGTTTCTCTGTCTCAGGCTGCATTTTGATGGATTTGGCCCATGGCTTGTATTTAGCTGGGGAGCATTACGTGATGCTTTTACTACTGAAGTCATTTCATCAAAGGAAATTGTGTTACAGTGAAATGATTGGAATGTCCCATGTAAAGAAATAAAAGCAGGTGCTGAATTGCTTTCATTATTATTTGAAAAGTGCAGATGCGTTTCTAAAGCTGTTGTGATTAAAATTCCAAGGTTTTTGTTCTTTTCAAAGGGCAATTCTGATGATAATGTTTCAAAAAGACTTCGAGCTTAGAGCTGTCTGTGCTAATCACACGGAATCCGTGGCTGCTGCTCGGCAGAGCTTGTCAGGAGTCCCAGGTGTGGATGGATGGCTCCTGTCCTCGCTCACCGAGCACCTGCACATCCCACTGCTGGTGTCCCGACCCCGGAGCTGAGCTGAGCTCCACCCCAGCCTCCCCTTTGGTTGCTGTCACAGGGACATCACAAACCCTCCCGTGCTGGTTTGAGCACTGCCAGCTCTTACTGGGGAGAGGGAACTGATTCTTCAAGCCCTGCCAATAATGGCACCCCTGCCTTTATGGAGATGGATTTTAATTAGATTGCAGCATGTGAACTAGCACGGACAACTGGAATATTTGCAAAAGCTGATGCAATTCTCCCTGCTCTGAACAGGGACAGCGCTGTCGCTCCCAGAGGCAGCTGCTGTTCCCTCTGGCTGTCGTGCAGATGTTCAATCCTGTCTGCACCGACTGCACCAGGCTCTTAAAAAAGTAATGAAGACATTTAAGTGAACATGATCTCACATCCCACCTTTAAATCCTCTGTGCAGGGGTTATGGAGCACTTGACCTGCACTGCTTCAGCTGCTCTGCACAGCCACAAGAGCAGGACACAGGACTTGGGCTTTTCTCTGAGGCACAACCAGCCCAGATTCTGCTGGTTTGAAAAGAAGGATCCTGAAGTGAGAGACAGATTCTGTTCAGGAGTGCAGCAGTTGCTTCAGAATTAATGAATTAAGGTAAAAATAAAAGCTTTGAATAACTGTTCAGCTCTCAGATTTAATTCGAAAAATCTGTAGGCACACAATGATTTTCTGTCTTAGCCTTGAAAATTATTCTTTTTGGCTATTTTGTTTTACATTATGGCCATGTTCTCAGAAGAATCTCACTGAAGTACCTGCAGCCTCAGCGGCAGAGCACGGTACTGAATCCACAACCTTGGTGTGTTAATCTCCGTGTGGGCTGTGCTGGACTCCACGATCCTTGACCTTTCCAACTCAAAATATTCTGTGAATCTGTGAGCTTAAGTGCAGTCAACAAAATCTACCCTGCACGGTGACTCCATCACACAGAGACTTCACTCTAAAGCTTTTGGCCAACATTTGAGTAAAAGGCTTTCTTTTCTCGTGCGTTTACCATTCCGAGTAAGTACTTTTCCCAGCAGAGGTGTGAGCTGGCACAGGGCAGTGCTGCCCCGTTCCCGCGGGTGTCCCTGGGGTGCTCCAGGACCCGCTCCAGCATCTCCTCCGCTGGCTTTCGGGTGCGGGCGGGATCCGGGCTCCGCTCTCGGTGCCGAGCAGCGGGGACGGACACGAGGTGGCGGTGCCGGCGCGCCCGCGGCTCCCCCCGTTAGAGACCCGCAGGCAGAGCGGGTCCTCCGCAGCTCCGGAGCCGCCCCCGGGCCCTCCTCCTCCTCCTCCCTGCGGGCTCCGGGGAGATGAGGAGCGGCGGCGGCGGCAGCGAGGGCCGGTCCTGCCCGGCCGCGAGCACCGGGAGCCCCGCCAGGAGCCCGCGGAGCCGGGACAGGCACGTTGGGAAGGGCAGGGGCCGGGGCGGGAGGGAGGGAGGGAGCGCCCCGCACATCGGCCGGGAGGGGAGCAGAGAGAGAGGAGCAGAGGAAGGAGAGCAGAGAGAGAGGGGAGCACAGAGAGAGGGGAGCACAGAGAGAGGGAAGCAGAGAGAGAGGGGAGCAGAGAGAGAGGGGAGCAGAGAGAGAGGAGCAGAAAGAGGGGAGCACAGAGAGAGGGGAGCACAGAGAGAGGGGAGCAGAGAGAGAGGGGAGCACAGAGAGAGGGAAGCAGAGAGAGAGGGGAGCAGAGAGAGAGGGGAGCAGAGAGAGAGGGGAGCAGAGAGAGAGGGGAGCAGAAAGAGGGGAGCACAGAGAGAGGGGAGCACAGAGAGAGGGGAGCAGAGGAAGGAGAGCAGAGAGAGAGGGGAGCAGAGAAAGAGGGGGGAGCAGAGAGAGAAGGGAGCAGAGAGAGGGGAGCAGAGAGCGGGGAGCAGAGAGAGAGGGGAGCAGAGAGCGGGGAGCAGAGAGCGGGGAGCAGCGGGCGGCAGCACTCGCTGCCCGGGCCCCGGAGCCGGCGGGGCGGTCACCGGCGCTGTCCTCGGTGCTGCCGCGCTGCCCGGCGCTGTCCGTGTGCTCCGGTGCCCGTGTCCGGCTGTGCCCGGCTGTCCCTGTGCCCGGCTGTCCCTGTGCCCGTCTGTGCCCGGCGCTGTCCCCGTGTCCGGCCGTGCCGGTGTCGGTGCTGTCCGGCCGTGCCGGTGTCGGTGCTGTCCGGCCATGCCGGGCCGTGCCCGCTCTCAGCCGGTGCCAGACGCGGGACACGGGCTGCCGTGCCGGCCCGACTCCTTTAAGATGATGCAATCCGCGTCGCCGTCCGCGCTGCCGACCCCGCGGCGCTGAGCGGAGCCGGAGCCCGGAGCGCAGCGGGCGGAGCGCGGGGCGGCCCCGGCGGTGCCCGCGGTCCCTGCGGGCCATGGGGGAGCCGCCGGAGCCCGGCACTGCCTAGCGCAGGCTGCGGGCTTTCTGCAAGTCATCGGCGCTGCCCTCCCGCTCCCCCAGCCCCGCGCATCCACTCGGGAATTATTTTATTTATTTATCTATCTATTTATTTATTTATTTATTTTCCTCCACCGTGCTGTATGTACCGCTTTCCTCGTCACCCGCCACGGTTAACTTCCCTGTGACTCGGTTTAACACTCGAGACCTCCGTGGATGCTGCTAAGAGCACTTCTCTTGCCTTTGCTGTCCCTTGCTGGGATCGGATTCACGCTACCCGGACTCTGTGTGCCTGTATGTGTGTTCTGAGTGTCTTGACATTTTGGTTTTCTTTACAAGAGCTGTGCATTAATTGTAACCAAGGTAAGACTCCCCGTTCTTGTTCCCTCATGTGCATGTCTAATTTAGATGTTTCTTTAAAGATGAAGCATGCAGTTTCTTTTAAGCAGTGAAGTCATATGTATCCCTTTCATTGATGAATAGTTGTGAAATAGAAGCGTAGAACTTGCCAAAAAAAGGAGACCTATTTAGCAGATTAGCTTGGCTCTACAAACTGCTCTGCTTTTCTCTGTTGCAGCAGCTGTGATGCTTAGAAGAGTAATTCGTTCCTTGTTTTGTTTTCCCTTTTCACAGACCTGTGAATGACCATAGGCTTGGCTTGACCTTGATTTTGATGGCTTTGTTGGAAGATCTGATGATGTGATTGCATGTCATGAGGTGATTGCTCTCCAGCCCGCAGCCTCCGTGGCTCGGTGTATAAACCACTTCTGCCGCACTGTCACTCATGGACAATTCCGATTTTTCCTTTAAACAATCCAACAACCTTTTCGGCTCCTTTTATTTTCTCACTTCTCCTTTCCCTCTTGTTTCTCCTTAATGTTGGGAGCCTTATTCTTCCCTCTGATGTGATTGATAGTCCTGCTTCTCCGTGCTGCCGATTTCCAGTTTAAACTACAATGGCTCTAAGTGGCAACTGCAGGACTTACCTTCCTGCTCGGGAGCAGGGCACGGGGCTGCACTCCTTCCCCGAGGTGGTGGAGCTCAACGTGGGCGGCCAGGTTTACTTCACTCGCCACTCCACCTTGGTCGGCACCCCTCACTCCCTGCTCTGGAAAATGTTCACCCCAAAGAGAGACACGGCCAACGATCTGGCCAAGGACTCCAAGGGAAGATTCTTCATCGACAGAGATGGTTTCCTTTTCCGCTACATTCTGGACTATCTCAGGGACAAGCAAGTGGTTCTGCCCGACCACTTCCCCGAGAAGGGAAGGCTCAAGAGGGAGGCTGAGTACTTCCAGCTCCCGGACTTGGTCAAGCTCCTGACTCCCGACGACAACAAGCAAAGCCCCGACGATTATTGTCACAGTGACTACGAAGAGGTGTCCCAGGGCAGTGACACCAGAATATGCCCGCCCTCGCTCCTGCCGCCCGACCGCAAGTGGGGATTCATCACCATCGGCTACCGCGGCTCCTGCACTATCGGCAGGGAGAGCCAAGCAGATGCCAAGTTCAGGAGGGTCCCAAGGATTTTGGTTTGTGGAAGGATTTCTTTGGTCAAAGAGGTTTTTGGAGAAAGTTTGAATGAAAGCAGAGACCCGGACAGGGCTCCAGAAAGGTACACCTCCAGGTTTTATCTCAAGTTCAAGCACCTGGAGAGGGCTTTTGACATGTTGTCCGAGTGTGGATTCCACATGGTGGCCTGTAACTCCTCGGTGACGGCTTCCTTTGTCAACCAGTACACAGACGACAAGGTCTGGTCCAGCTACACCGAATATGTCTTCTACCGTAAGTACGAGCTGCAGCTGCTCCTGCCGGGACCGGGACCGGGACCGGGACTGGGATCGTGACTGTGACCAGGACCGGGACCGGGACCGGGACTGAGCGCTCCCGATCCTGATCCCGTGCCCGCCGCAGGCCGGGCTGGGTTCTGAGCTC